CGGCGCGGCGTGGCGTGCGGCCGCCTCTTGTCACCCGATCCGGTGCTGAGGGGTCCGGGGCGCGGGCCCTCCCGTACCGTGCTGGGGAAGGGGAGAAGTAGGGACTGCTCTACCATTTCCTTGGCAGCGTATGGAAGGGTGGGCAGGAGGCTGGTGGGCGGGAGGGCGGCGAGGGAGACGAGAGGAGATGTCAGGGTGCACCCTCGCGGGTGAGGGGATGGGAAGGCCCGAGTCCACCAGAAGGGACGTGGCTCTTCCCTGCTGCCACGTCCCGCGTGGAGCGTGGCTGGGCAGGCACGTAGGTGCTTGTTCATCCTAGGACTGCTGTGTGCGGAAGCTGCCTTCCTGTAGTTGATCCTGTGTCAGGTTAGACAGGCAGCGGTTTGCATCCTTCGAACTCGGTTATGTACGTGCCCCAAAAGACGGGAATGGAGGGCCAGAGCCATGGCAGGCTGATAGGGTGCCTGGCATCTGCTGAGCAAACATGTATGTGCACCCAGCCATAGATGACCACGGAATGTCTTGCTGACGGGATCGTAGCGGTAATCACGCATTTGGTGTATCTTAAGGTTTCTTTTGTGGACTTGTTCTGTAGCGTAGAGATTCTCACACATCTCAGACCTCAGAACAGACAGATTGGATTTGCTGTTACGTTCTTTCCCCGAAGGATGACACCTGATTTTTTACATGCTGCAAATGCTCTGCTCGATCCATGTGTCTTGTGATGGACATGTTGTACTATATAGCATATTGTAGGATTCTGAAGGCAGTAGCTTTAAGATAAGTAAATCGCACCTTACGCTATCTTACGACTATTGTATGGAGAGTAGGCACAGGTGTTTTATCCCATGAGCATAGCTCTGTGTAGGTATGGACACCAGGACCATGTTTCATTGCTGTGTAACATGTAAATTTTGTGGCGGTAAGGGCGCATCCTTGACAAACCATTGTATGTAGTTTAAAAGATTTCAGTAGGGTGGGTACGTTTTAGAAACAAATTTAATTTTCTTTTTTTTGTTATTAATTTTCTAGTTTCTAACCTTTTTTTGCAGCCCCACAGTTGCCACTGGCTGTTACAAATTCTCCCATATTAACATTTTTTTGTAAGATATTTGCTAGGAATTACAACTTAGATGTAAAAGTACATTGTGGTAGCTTTAACTCCTCTAAACAAAGGCAAATCCAGTTCTCAAAACCCAAAAAGCAGGACTATTATAATTCCATGCTTGGACTGTAAAGCATATAGTTTATGTTTTCTGTAATATGCTGTAATTAAGATATGATGAATGTGGATGAAAGTAATAGTAAAACAGTTTTTTGGCCAAGGTATCTAATTGCATGTGTGTTCTCACTTAAAGCTTTGTTTTGGCTAGGAAAGAAATCAGTCATCCATCTAGCTCAGTGCATGTGAGCTAACCAAACCTGTCTGAAACTTGCTAGGTCTCTCACTCAAGACAGACAATTTGTAGCATGTATTGGGCAAAAATGGAACTAGTACCTTTCCAGTTTAATCTGTGTGTAGAACCGTATATTTAAAGTTAGTGCTATGTATGTTTCTTTTTTAAGAAATAAAAGACTTAAAAATGAGTGTACAGGCTAGTCTACGTTTTTTACTTACATGAGAATTAGAGCTACTCTCAATTTAAACTGAGCTGAATTCTTCACTCATGGTGGTAATTCTTTGCCTGTCACATTAGGAAGGAAGATTGCAAGAAGTAATTGAAAACCTTCTCTCCTTGGAAAAACAAACACGAACGGTAAGTAGCATATGGTGTGCAACATTTATGCTGGGTTGTCCTACACACCCCCTTGTTCCACTGCATTAAATTGATGAAGGGAATTGGAGTATCAGTCTTTCTCTTTTGTTGTTCTTTTCTTTAAAAAGAAAATCAATGAGGCGAGATATAATAATTTTTTTTTCCCTTTGTGTAATAGAAGTGCAAGTGATAGAGGTCTGCAGGTTGTTTATCCCATCGCTACTATGCTGTTTGTTTGTTACAGGCATCTGACATGGTCTCCACATCCCGTATCTTAGTTGCCATAGTGAAAATGTGTTACGAAGCTAAAGACTGGGATGCTCTTAATGAAAATATTATTCTTCTATCAAAGAGAAGAAGTCAGTTAAAACAGGTGAATTTAATCCTTTGAAACAAAAAAATAAAATTATATTTGGAGCTGTATTATGTATCTGGTTCCCCCTTGTGTGTATGGACTTTCCTGACTTTGTAGCACCTGCCTGAATATATTGTAATTAGCTTCTGTTGACATTTTTTGGTAGGCATAATGAAAGCCAATAATGAAACTGATGTCTGGAATTAGTCTGTCTTCACCTGGTGCCTGAGCTCCGTGTGGTCCAGCTTGCCATTCTTGGCAACACAACTGTGACTTTTCTGCTTTCAGTGCATACCAGTGCTTTTAGATGGTAGTTCATCTTTATACTCTTCTACAGTCTGTATTGTAGACATAGTCTTAATTTTTCATGTTCATATGAGGTGTACATTAAACAGAGTTATTGCAATTTATTGTGATCAAATAAGGTGTATGCTTTACATGCTTGCTTTTGAAACTGTCATATTCTGGAATTCAGTTCTGTCTGAGAAATCGGCTATCAGGATAGCTGAAAGCACTTGCATTTAAGAAGGTACAAAGTTTATTGCACTGTGTGTTTAGTTTGACTTAATTAGAAGTTAGCAACAGGTAGTTTTAATGGCATCATTGCTTTAGGAAGAAAAAGGTTACCTGCTTTTTAATGTGCAGAAACATGAGGAGTTTGTATACAAGTAGAGTACAGTTTAGTTCTCTAACTTGGACAAACTGTGGCTGAAGACTTGGGTCATTTCAGCTGAATTTTCTTCTTGAGGAAGAAGTTTCTAGAAGTTTCATTCTGTTTTTTTTTAGAAGTAGGTATTTTAATAATAATTGTAACAGCTTTGTCAGCGTTGTTACCAGAAGAACATACTCCAATACCTGTGCTTCCCACTGAAGGATGCTAGCTCATTAGTGCCTATTTGGGAATATGCAGAGATGGAAAAGCATCAGTCAGAAATAATTACCCCTCTTCCTTCCCTTCCTCAAAAATCTACAGGTGTCCTAAAGAGAAGGGCTAGTGCACACACTGGGGAGAAGATGTACCTTCCCTTTAGCTACACAGGTCTTAGGGCAAACAGATAAGTCTTGTCAATCCATGTGAGAGTCGTGTGGATTTGGCAGAAGAGGAGTACTACTTTTCAAGAGAGAACCTCATGGGATGAATGATTTTGAATATCATTGGAAAAACTGAGAAGAAAGAAATGACAGAACAGCATCGCATTTGACTTCTAGCATCAGTCGCTAGCATCATTTTACACATTTTTATGAATAATTTTTATGAATTTTTATGATATTTTTAGCAATCATAATTATGATTAGATGTATCTTGCATGCTTTTTGCTGAGTCTCTTTAGTTTGATATGAAACTATTTAGTACTTATCTATGAGTGTTATAGTTTGAATGCATTTCAGAAATCTAAAAACACAGTATGTTTTTCTTTTCTGTTATTGTACTAGGCAGTTGCTAAAATGGTCCAGCAGTGCTGCACTTATGTTGAAGACATCACAGACTTACCAGTCAAACTGCGCTTAATTGACACGTTGCGTATGGTTACAGAAGGAAAAGTAAGATTTTGTTTTAAGACTGAATGTCTAAAAGGTAGAATAAAAATGTTCACCTTCTTTAAAAGCATAGCTTCTTAACATTATTTTTTAATCTTGTTCAAATAAGAGCAAAAGTATATTTTTAAATTAACCTGAGAAGTCAAGTAGTGTATTTCTTTCCAAAAGACTGCAAATATTTTCCAGATTTCATATTTAAATAATTTGCTGAAACACTGGTCATATTTCCATGATGTAGATATTTGGATGTATTATGAATATAATTAGTAATACATTTCAGAGTTCTAAAATGCCATTTATTTTTCACTTTTGAAAATGTTATGTATTTGTATTTGAATTTGTTAGAGAAATGGACAAGTTTAGTTTAATTTCTCCTGGGCTTAACAAGGTGTTATGTACAGTTACAGTAACCAGAAGGTGATATCAAAGCATTATACTAAGTTAATTATTTATATAATGTTCCTTTTACTTTAAGAAAATAAAAAATTCTGGATTAAGACAAATTTGTGCTAATGTTACGGCTTTTGCCTGTTAAAAGTTAGTCTAAATTGTTACTAATCAAGTATTGTTGATTTATGGATGGTTAGGAGTGAGTGAAATAATGCAAACAGTAGTACTTAGTACACATTAACCATTAAAGTCATAGCTTCGTACCTGTTTCAGTGTATTTTAGCAGACAAAATAATACTTCATTCACAGGGCACATCCTTTTATGTTTGCTTAAAGAATGGTAGACTAATTTAGACACTTTTTTTTTTTTAATATTAATTTGGTTCAAATACTTCCAGTGTGTCAACTATCCATCATATTTTATCTGTGTATGTTGTGGATAGTATCAGTATAGTGTATGGATACACAAGGAATTAATTGGTTGTACGAAAACATCAAATACATGTCTTAGTGGGGTTGTGGTCTTAGAGTTTGCACTCTTTAGAAAATTGCAATGTTTAAACTACTACTTCTGATTTCAGATATATGTGGAAATTGAACGTGCTCGCCTGACAAAGACACTTGCAACAATAAAAGAACAGAATGGTGAAGTGAAAGAGGCTGCCTCGATTCTGCAAGAATTGCAGGTAACACGCCATGTAACTCAAAATTGCGTCAGCAATAAAAATTGATTGACTGCTCTTAGATTATTGTTTAGAAACTTAATCAGGTACATCTGCAGAAATGCCTGGAATGAGATTAACTGTTATTAGTGAAAGTGTAATTCAGTTTTAACTGCTTTTGTTAGTCTCATGGTTAGGTTACGTAGAATTATTTCCCATTTGGAAAACAGATTTCAATTCTCTAGGTAGTGCATTGAGTTTAGTGGATCCTTCCGGTATAAGTGGGGGCTATAATGTCAAATTGAATAACCTTTTCTCCATTTTCACTTGCTCTGGAATAGCTGTTTTTCCTGTTGTTCTGTTTTGGTCCCCACCCCCCCGCCCCCAACAACCTCCC